TTTATTAGCAAGGAAGTATAAAAACTTCTTGCGAACATCTTTTTTGTGTGTGGTCAGAGGATCAGCGAAAAGAATTTATTTTAATTTTATATAATATTATTTTTTTATTGTTATAATAAATATTTATTTAATGATATAAATATATATTAGCTAATTCTTTATATTATAAATTTTTTTGTTAAAATACTAAAAATTAAATAATAATAGTTTATAAAAGTTTTTTTATATTTTAAAAACTAATATATTTAACATCAATTATTTATTTTTAATAAAAATTTTAAGTTATTTAAAGTTCTAAATTTAATTAAAGTAAATAAAATATTTAAAAACCTATAAAGTAAAAACTTTAAAATAGTATAAATAGTTAAAAAAAATAAGCTTATTTATTAAAATAAATTTTTATAAAATTTTATTAAATAATAATTTTTCTAAAACTTTTTAACTATTAATAATAAATATATTAATTAAAATTTTTTGATTAAAAAATTCTTGATTAATAAAAATTGTAAACAAGAAAAAAAGAATATTACATACAGTTGCTTTCAAAAGTTTGAGTCCACTTACCATATTTTTATTATAAATTTTAACTTTGACTATTTTTAAATCATTAACTATACAGTCAAAAATTATAAAATATATACTGTATATATTATGTCTTAATATTTATTCTATTTTTTATATTTTTTAAAAAAATTTTTTTATTAATACATTTTAAAGTTTTATTATTGCTAAATTTTTTATTTTTTTATTAATTATCATATGATTTACAATAACAGCCAATTAAAATTCTTCAAAAGTAAAAATTTGATAAAAAAATTTTTCAACAAAAATAAAACTTTAAAAATTATGTATCTAAAATTTTTTAAAAAAAAATATAATAAATAAAACTAGTATAAAGATATAACATATATAAATTTTATAATTTTTGGTCATATAATTAAGGATTTAAAAATTGTCAAAGTTGAAATTTATAATAAAAACATAGTAAGTGGTCTCAAACTTTTGAAAGCAATTGTATTTGAAGATATTTCTCAAATTGGTTTAATTATAATATAATTTTTTTAATCTCTTTTAAAAATATTTTTTTGCAACAATTAAATTAGTTTTGAATTTTTTAAAAATATATAAACCATCAATAATTTTTAAATTTATATATTTAAATAAACCAATTTTAAGTTTTAATTTTTAAATTAAATCTTTTAAATATTATATACAGTAATTTTTAAATTAAACATTTTAATTATTATATATAATAATAATTTAATTAACATTATTAATTATTAAAATTAAAAATTCTTGAAATTAAATTTATTTATTTTAAACATATAATGGATTTAATCTTTTTTTTCTGGGATAATTAAATAATCTATATAAAATCTATATTAATATCAGGAAAATGTTTTGAAATCATCATATATTCATTAACAATTTTTATAACAATTCATAGGATTATTTCAAAAATATAGATTACAAATAAAAAACAAAATTGTTTGGTTTTTAATCGCAGACAGAATTTAGAATGATATACAGTAATGACTTGCAGGCAATTATTTTGCTGGTTAAGGAATATTCCAAATGAGCAAAGGAGCAAAATATCATTCTCTAGATTGTATCTAGAAAAATAATTTTTGACAACAGGTTAGTCAGCATATGAAAGTTAAATAATTTATAGATACTGTATCATGCATTTATATAATAAAGACAAGCCATGTTGACCCGACTGTGGGTTAAAAAAAATTGCTTTAAGCAACAAATGACTTTTTTTAAATACATTCCTAATATGTATTTTATTTTCTTTAAAAGAACTATCTTATATGTTAGAATGATATTACCGCAAGCAATAGTTTGTTTTTCTTCTAGCATGTACTGTGACGTTCGAATGCATTATTTGTATTATAAAATATGTATTGCATATCAAATAAATTATTTGTTATCGATTTTGTCTTACCGTTTAATTGCAACAAAAATGTTATAATCGATTTTTGTATCCTCATTTTTTAATAATACATATGCACTATAAATTCTTGAAGCGCAGTTATAAATTCAGAAAAATCCTTCGAATATAATTACACAAATACGTAATGTATCACATTCATTTATTTCCACATTTAAAATTTTAAAAAGCAATATCGATAATCGGATTGTTCTAACAACCTCCGCCCTTTTTCCTCCAAAACGATTATATACGGAAAGTTTATGTTACATTACTTTATCACTATTTTTGGTAGCTCTTTTCATTCAAGAACACCTAATTTATATTTGTTCAAAATTTTTGTGCAATGAAAAATAGAATGTTTCGTATTAAGCTTGTAACGCTGGATATTCGACTTTTTTTCTATATAAGAAACCCAACTTCCTTGTACTTTGCACTAAATTTTGCCCCTTTCTTCTTTAAAATGCATCAACTAATTAATAAAAACGCGTTTTCCTTTTGCTTAAATTGTAAATGCCATTGTATAGCAACTTTGATTTTCTTTTTCCTCTATTTCGTTCCCACGACAGAGGCGATTGATTTAAGCAACTTTCTTATCATTCCAGAATATTCATTTGTCAATGATACTATTATCTATACGTGCCCTGATTCTTCATATTCTGAGTACGAAAGTTACACGTCATTTGGCAAACAAGGAGCTGCAATTCTTGGATACGCAAACATCTTCTTTACAGTTGCTGTTTATGGCGTAACATCCAAGTTCGGCTACCTAAACACCTGCCGCATAGATGACTTCGTTATTTGTGTCATTTCCTTTCTTCCAATTTTTTCTTGGTACTTTAGTACTAAAGTCGCAATGGTGTTTTACAATGTACCCCTAACAAATAGTTTGAACATAAAACTTTTTTTTGGAATTTCCATCGCTTTAGTATTTATTTTATTCATTTTTTTATTCAGCTTCCATCATTTTCGTCGCAATACTGGAAAATTTAAACCTATTCACATTTTGCCAACCACAAGAGGCCTATTAATTGCCGTTTATCTCATTCATTCTATTATCATTATCATTTATGACGTTAAAGACGTAATCAAAGATTATAACAAAATCCATGGAAAGGCAGAACTTGATAGTTCTTCCGCTATTATAGCCGTAGTTAATCTTTACGGATTAGACCTATTCATGGATGCAGTTTATTTTCTTTCTGCTTTTTATTTAAATGCAGTTTTTTATATTACAGGAATTTATTATTATTTTAGAAAGGAAGAAAGTAGTATTACTCCATTTCTTATTGGCAAAAGGGTCTTATTTACTGTAATTTTCATTTCAGTAATCCAAGTGTTTTTTGAATATTCCTTTTACTGCACTGCTTCTTTCTTTCACACAATCCTAAATTTTATGGTTACCACGGTTTCAACTCGCTCTATCGCATTATTCTTTTCAAATGATGGAGTTATCCGTGTCAAGGATATCCACAATCATAGTCATGGTGATGAGAAGGTTTTCGTACAAATTGATCCCAAGAATATCAAAGAATTTCGAAACATATACATCTGTAACGATTCAAAAGACGACAAGAAAAAAGAGTCTACGTTTGAAGAATACGCTGTGGAATACACAAAAGAACTGAATTATATATATCTTAAGAATAAGAAAACCGAAGTGTACTATTACGTTGCGACGACCATGGAATCTGTTTATCTTTGCAGTATAAAAAATCACGAAAATCCGGATAAACGTGTAGAAAAAATTGGATGGTTTAAATGGTTACGAAGGATGTGTCGAAGTTCGGACAATATCAAGGTCTTAAATTTGGAAAAAGAAATATATGATTTGGGAATATCTGATGAATGCCGTGTCGAGAAATGTAGTAAATTGCGTCGAGGGGTCATCGAAAAAATTCTTGATAGTCTTAGTGGTCTTGGTAAGGGGGGTGATGAAATCAATGAAGAAACTGAAAAAGAAGATAAGGATGAATTCGAACGAATGAAAAATATAATCAAAGAAAAGTTGGAAGTAATGAAAATAGAAAATCCTGATGTGCTCGTTGACATACTTGACACGGGATTTCTTAACTATGTTATATATTATCATCGTCGTAAAAAAGCAGAACTAACGTGTAAAAAGAATTACGCTAATGTTTAGAGATAAATAATTGGATAATTTAATAATTATATAGCTAGATCGTACTATATTAACAATTTTATAAGTAGCATTTATTTAATCACATTTTATTAACACTATATTATATTTAATATAACGCCTTAATATCAACGTTAAGTGCAGAAAACTTAACCAAATGAACCTATTTTCTAGATCAATAAACAAAACCTAGCAAATTTATTCAACAATATTAATCATGAAAATGATCATTATTCATTTTTAAAAACCTTTTATACTACTGCGAGTTTGTCGCTGGCCTGTACGGCTCACGTAATCACGCATATTAATCGCGACACAAACCAAATATAAAACGTGTATAAGGCGAGAGGATATACTGTATTTTGGAGAGTTCTATAATGGTCACTTGGGCATCAAATATCGTTTTACAAATACGCTAAATTCAAGTTGCTTGTATACTGATATGTTTCTACTGTCTTGCTTTAGTAAACTCACCAATATATTTATGCGCCACTTTTACAAAGCATTTTACATACCCACTGATTAACTAATTTTGTGTCGCGTAATTTATTTATGTATTAAGAAAGGCTGGATCGTGATTTACTCTTTAAAATACGCATGCTTGATTTATTATTTACAAATTATGATATGAAAGATTTTCTTTACAGTGCTATAAAATTTAAAGTAAACGCTAAAATTGAGGTCAGATTATTATTGTTGTTATTTATTACTATTTTATGAACACAAGTATTAAAAGTGAAAATACCTAGTGAAATAACCTATATTTTCGGTCATAAATATACTGTAATTACGTAAATGATCGTCGATTCAATTTTTATTTTCATCTATTGAATAATGTTTTGTTAGGATTAAAAAAGTTTATTTAAATTAATGTAATAGACTAAGCGGTGAGCCTATCGCTTGATGTCTAGGCTCACGCAATTCATTCACTCGTACGAAATAACCATAAAGAAAACGCACGAGACTATCTCTCATATATTGTAGATCTTTTGGCTACAGTATCGTGTGATCTTACCATTATATTTTGCTGTACTCATAATCTTGTTTGGGGCGTTGTTATAGTGACGGAAGGTTTAGCTCTCTTTGATTTTTACGCGGCTTAACTTTAAGTCATGTTGCATGCATGCTAAAGTATCGCGTGTGATTTTGGTATCACGCGAAATAATACGTATAGGCGTGGTTAATTTTCTTACCTTTAATATTAAATGTAATAATTCCTAAAAGAGTATTTGTGTCTAGTACACGCAATTATTGTTAAAGACTGATGGATCAAGTCGATTAAATAAATATGCAAGTATTGTAGATGCACGCTGGCACTTCCTGATTTGTCAAATAGGAAAAGAGAAAAAGGAAATCATTAAATAGCAAAAAAAGGTTCATTGAATTTGTGTGAAAATTCTGATAAAGTTCTACAGATTTCCATAAGAATTTGAATTTGTATCACGCCATCAAGACAGTCATAACGGATTGCCAACCTCCGAGAACCTCAATCAAAAATTCCATTTTTGTAAAGGGCTATCGTAAGACAAAATGTATAATACGTACCACGGTTTTCTTTATGATTTTCACATACTGCATATTGAATAAAAATATCACACGAGATTTATTGCGAACATATTTTATTTTTTTAGCAGTTAAAAGATCAAGTAAACTCTTCAATATTAAATTTTATAGCAGTAAAAATACAGATAGCGTCAAATAAGCTAAAATTAATCATGATAATACTGTATGTTAATTTTATACTATAAAAAAAGATTCATCTAATATTTTTTACTTTTTTCAAATTATATATGAGATCCATAATAAAAAAATTTTTTTTTTGTAATAATATAATAAGGGCACAATTAGAATTTTTATTTAATCGGATAAATTATCGCGAGACAATTTTTCACGTGATGTTAATTTGCGATCGGATTTACTGTACGTACTGTACGTATTTAGGTTTTAGTTTTGATGTTGCGTGTACGTATTATTGTGAATAAAAAATTCATGTAGAGTACATTTTATGCGAAGAATGATAGGCTCCTCCAACAGAGTGAGTCGTTCAGGCATAACTAATTAAGTATAATGAATGTTTTTAATGTATGAAAAATAGACAGCAAAAAAGAATTGCCTAAACATGTCTGGTATAAGACAGAAATTTAATCATACGTAATACGTACGTAAAACATTTTTTATGATGATTTAAATATTAGGCAACCTATCCCTCATAATTAACAAATAACACGATAGATACTCATTACGTATTGCAAGTAATTTAAAAATTAGAAAAAATTTTGAGATCTTTTATTCTTTTGGCTTGATTAAGAACATTTATAAAAAGTTTCAGAATCTTTTGGAATATTGAAATAAGGGAAATAATCAATTTCTAGACTTCAAGTATGTTGTTGGAAGAAATTGAATAAAACAGGGAAAATAAATAAAATTTAAGACCCATTATTTTTAAAAAAATAAAGAATCTTAAAAACGGAATGAATAATAAAAATTTTTACATCGTGTGATTGACAAATAAAAACTGGGATTTCATTTATCTGGAGTGATTGGCACGGTACTTTTAGGGGAATTGGCACTTGAAACCGAGAGATTTACACCCTTGGACGTATTATTTTTTCCCAAGGTCGTAAGTTCACGTTTATTTTGATCGCAAGTAGTACAAAGAATCTCGCCAAGATCAAGAACAGAGCAGGAGACTTCCCTGAAGAATGGCTTGGTACCACCTTCTCCGTCAAGCGTAACATTAAAAATATCAGTTACATTTTGGATAACATTACCACAATTATCCGTAATTAAGAACTGAGGACCACAGCCTAGACCCCTTGAGAAGAGACCGTAGATAAAGGTTTCATTGGCTTTTTCAACAAAAGTAACCAGACCAACCAGTTCATTATCAAATTCTGCGTGGGCAAGAACGCATTTATCGTAGTCTTCTCGTTTGACAAAAGGATTTGAATATGACGCTTTCGATCCTTCGAGGAAATTAATAAGAACAATAAGGATTAAGGTCAAAGATGCAATTTTTTCTTTCATTTTATCTCCAATTTCAATATTTTTTAATCTTATGGTCGTATTAAGAATTCTTTTTTCATTCAAGGAAAATGTAATCCCTTCATATTGCGCAGTTCCTGTTTAAACTTTGGAGGATCATAGCCACACTTTCTTATCATGATTATCCAATATCATTCTTTAATCTAGAGTACTAATTTCTTACATAAAGTATTAGAACATAATATACTGTACGTACGCATTTTATTAAAAAGATCTGTAGTGAGCGCATGGTAATATATATGAAAGTATTCACTGATTTGTGATATACGTAATATCAAATAGTTACATAACCAAATAGAGGATATTGATTTGTTTATAATATCAAATGGTTATATAACCCAATTACGGTATTATCCTTTTACAATACTCGGTTCCTGTTCTAAACTCTTGAGGTATAACAGCCGCACCACGGTCTTACATTACTGCTCGATGCGTAACAGTTGATTGGCTCCTGGTGAGATTGCTATACTTCTAGTCAAATCGTTGTATCCATTCGAAATGCGAGGTTCCCGTTCTATATTCACGGGAGACCACAGCCGTATTGCATTAATACTTGGATGGCATCTGGTGAGATCTCTACACGTCTAATATAAGTACGCCACCACTGTGTTCTTTCAGAATACGCGATTCAGTTCTTGTTCTAAATTTTCGAGGGACCCCAGCCGCATCATACTATCATCAATACCTGATGTCAGTTGGTGAAGTCAATACAATATTCCTTGGAATACGTAATTCCTGTTCTAAATTCTTAAGTGAATACAGTCATACCGACTTACTAATACCGATGTCGTTTGGTTGCCATCTATTGATCGCTACATTATACAGTATGTCGAACCATCAATTCCTTTCAGAGTGCGCGGCCCGTTATGATTTCTCGATGAACCACAGCCGGAATCGTCTTGTCTGGGATTTCTGATGCCATTTAGGTGCATCTGATGAGATCGCTGCACTCAACAAAATTTACCGTATAATGCTATTTTTCAGATTGATCGATTCTCGTTCTAAGATCTTGCGGGGCCATAGCCGCATCATCAGGTAGTAATCAAGATATTTTAAATGCCATATCATCACATTAGTGCTGAAGTTAATTTTTATTTTTATGTTCAGATTTTGCTTGCACGAAATATAACCCATAAAAAGAATCAATTCAATTGAAAATAGGCTGTTCACTTTTTTCCAAAGCTATATAAAGGGATTACA